ACTTTTGTCTTATGGATCAATTACACCTGTTTCTGAATTAGGAATATCTATTCACAGTTACTCATGCCTTAGTCAGCGCCTGGTTGGATTTTTGCAATGTGATCTACGTGGGGCTGCTCTTGAAGACCATCTGCAAACTGCAGCATTCAGCTGCACAAGAAGTAATGGATGTGCCTCAGCGCATCCAGGTAATATCACTACTTTGCAGTTATACAGTCTCCCAGTAAGCTTCTGGATGCAATTCAAGGACTGATTCTTTTCCTGTGCATTTAGCAAAAATGGTAGATAAGCCTGTTTTGTGACATCACAGCCAGACTCACAGATTGTAAGAGGACTGGCTTATAAATATTCATGTAAATAAAACTAAACAAATCGTCATCATTTTTAGCCTTATTTCCCATGTACTGTATGTTGGAAATACCTTTACTACTACTTGGTAAGCTGAAAGGCATAATATGTAAAAAAAAAACACACACCATCCTTCTTGGTTTAAGTGTTGGAGGGTGCATCTTCTACCATAAATGCCTGTTTATCTACTGGGAGTGCTGGAGAGTGGTCACATGCTAACTTGAGAGATATTATCTTTCTGATTAGTTATGGGGAGCTTTGGTTTAAACAAAAACTTAATTCTGATCTGCTCTGGTCCTCTTGTGCAATGTTTTAGAATTTGTAAGAATTATTTTTATTTGTTTATTAAATTTGTGTGACTCCTGACTACCAACAACTCCCAAATATAATTCTGAATATAGGTTTTTAATGAATTATTCCACTGTTTTTATTTTACTATGTTCAATAATAGTATACTGCTTGTAATGAAAATAATGCTAGTTAGGAAAAGTATGGATAAATAAATAAATAAATCCATCACACCCACACACATCTATATACATTGCAAATATGCCTATTGATCTTAGTTATGGGAGACTAAAAAATCCAAAAGACTTGAAAAACATCATTTTGGAGTATAGTTCTTATCTATAGTCCTTAGGCACAGTCATTCAATTGTGACAGTAAGATAAATTCCTCCTTGTCTTTTACAGTACTCTAGTGTCAGTTTATAACACTGTACCTTATTAATCGTGGACATGTTCAGATGAGATATATCGTTAGGCTCCAAGGCTACATAGATACCACCATTCAATAATTTGCACTAAAATTTATATACAGTCAATGCTAGACTATTCCTCTATTCTCAGCAGCCTGGCACAGCCTAAAAACAACTAATTTTATATTCACATTCCTCCTACACACTTTTAAAAAAAATGACAGGCACAGCGGCAAATTTAACACTCAATCTTCTGCAACCAGCAGTAATATGCAATTACTTATAGTGGCTGTGAATTTTAAATTTCTTCTAGAATGTCCTTTTCCAACTTATTAATTATGAGGAGTTTGACAGTATTCAGGCAGGGTCGTCATGGATCAAATGTAAATATTTAGCTTCACAGCCCTCTTCTTATCGATTACTTTACTAGGATTATTCAACTATCTTTCAGTAACTATTTTTCAGAAAGTGACTGACTGAAAAATAGATTTATATAATATTATCAACTTGATATTATGTCAAATCTATTAGGCCAACACTTTGGAAACTGAAGTTATGGTTGAAGAAGAGTAATAATCTGACTATAAAATTAAGCTAGAAACCCATGAGGGCATAATAGACTTACAGATGATGTTATTAGACATTTGATGATGTTATTAGACATTTGACGGGTTTGTATATGCAGTTTCTATTACCACTTGTCTTATAACAATGACTCTGGATGGTATACAAGAATTAAAACCAAAATAATAACAATCCAAATAACAATTGTTCAAGATCACAAGAAATAATCTGATTCCAATTTAAAATAACAATAGCAGCATCTAACCTTTTAAATATTTAAACCTTTCAGCACTCATCCAAGACATATTTTTCATAAAAAGCAATGCTGAGAGCAAACTTTATGAAGGGCAATAGTCTTACAATGAATAGAGATTGCCTTTGAAAAATGCCAAGCTGAAGTGAGTGGAAGGACATTTACAAAATCTCGTGCTGTTCTGCCAAAAGGTTTCTGAATAAAACTGAAGAGAAATTATTATAGAAAAGAGAAGACACCAGACATCCCAAATTCAGTATTTACTGACATAATATAATTAAAAAGGAATGAATGACATTAAAATCCTGCTGTATTCTACACTTCAAGTAAATCACAGAGCAATTACAGAACTCCTACTCCACCAGTGCAGCTTAGAGAGGTTCAGCATTTTGAATAACTAAAAGCTTATAATTGGATAAAACCTCAAATATAAATTCAACCAATCCAGAATCAGGAAATCCTGATAGATTACCAACTAGACTTTTTAATAACTCTGGGAACAGAGAACTGAAAGCACGTTGTTCCATAAAACAAACAATTTAACATTAGGAATTGTGTTTTAATCCTTCCTTCCTTCCTTCCTTCCTTCCTTCCTTCCTTCCTTCCTTCCTTCCTTCTCTTATTCATAAATTTGATGTTTTATTTTCAATACTTTTCCACTATGGTACTTTAAAAATATAACAGATATGAGTCAACCAAGGTTTAAGTGAACATCAATTTTAAAAATCAAATAGTTATGTTTACAATATCTTTATAGATTTCAGATATTTCAATGGTCCTCTCTGAGCTTGCTTGTTTTCTAGCAGACGTTTCATTGCAAGAAAACAAGCAAGTGCAGAGAGCACCAAGGACCCCTCATTTCAAACCTGAGCTACAAATATTCTCCTTTATAGCTACTTCAATGTACAATATTTGCACTGACATTTGATGGTGGCAATTGTCATGATCTAATGTTAATTACTTCACAAAGCAAAGACTGTAAGGAAAGGCCACAATAAAATTGCAATAAATATGACTAAATATTTTAAACATATTATAAACTATTTTATTAACAATACGATGAATTGTGTTTTGTTCCATCTTGTACTCAGAGGGTCAGAAAGAGGGCTCAGAAAATATCTGCAGGCCCGTCATATCCTGGACATAAATTGTTTCAGTTCCTTCCCTCAGGATGCTGCTATTGAGCGCTGCATGCCAAAACAACTGGATACAGGGACATTTTCTCTCTCTTGTGCCATCACTCTGCTGAACACCTAATTCCCACAGCAATGTCTTATGTCTAAGAATATTTATCTATGTATATGACTGTATTACTATTATCCTTCTCATCTTTTCCACTACCTTCTCCTTTTGCTATCTTATGATTATATTACCTTATTGTTTGTATGCAGACTTCTTGTTTGCATGTACATGCTGCTTATATCTGTATGTACACTGATTATATTACATTGATGGTATGTACACTGAAAGCTTATGCAGCAGAGAAAAATATCCTGTATGTCCAATCTCACTTAGCCAATAAAGCATTCTATTCTGTCCTGTTCTATCCTATCGTATTCTATCCTATCCTATTCTTGCAAAATTGCTCCATACATCAATTTTAGCTTTAATCATACGTTTCTGTAGATCATTGCATTATATGTTACAAATAATAATTTCTGGAAAAATATCAATGCTATGTATTACAGGAAAAGTACAAAAATGTGCAGATTTAACAAGATATAAATGTTGTAGGCCAGAATTCACTTCATCAGATTAAAAAACTATTGTCCTGAGTTATAAACAAAACTATCAAGCTCTTGGCAGGCCATTTCAACAGAAAAAAAGGCTCTCCATGGATTTAATAGGATTTATTGAAGAGAATAAACTCAAGTTACAAAAAATCACAACCTGTACAACTTTCACTGTTAGAGTTCTATTTATTTCTTAGTTACTAAAAGTGAAAACTTTTTCAGCCTATTAACAGCTTGTGTGTGAAGCCACAAGAGGGCCATCCTCTTAACTGATAAGAGGTATGTCCAGGGGGCAGATAGTTCTCTGTGTATTTTAGGCAACAAATTCCAGTCTAAACTACTGAAGTTGGTAAGAGTTGTATTTCAAAATATCTAGAAGAAACCAGGTTTCCTATTTCTGCACAGGATTCACTGTTCTTTTAGAGATATACTCATGTTATAGAAGGTAGTGAGTAAAAAAAATAAAGAACATTATATTTTAGTATAAAGCCTTTCCATCTAAATCCATAAAATAATTTAAAAATTGCCTCTTTTAACTATTATGTGCTTTCTATAATATTTATAAATGGCTGCCATGGTTCTGCCTCCAGATGCCTTTCCAGACACAAGTTCAGAAGGAGAAGGATGAGTTTGAGTCAGCAGGGGAAAGCACGGAGCCAAGTGTTGGTTAGAATCAGGACTCGGAGAATGCCAACCTGACTGAGCAGTCTCAGCTGGGTCAATTGGATGAGTGAGAGTGAAGTTGAGTGAGATGAGCTATAGCTGCAGCAAGTTGGCTAGGAGTCTCAAGGCAGGGACCAGGAGCAGCTGTTCCCCATTAGCGATGAGGTGATGGAGACACATAGAACAGAGAGAAGACAAGCACAATGCCGGTCAACTAGACTACTAGTTGGTGAGGAGGCAACTTCACCTCTTATAAAGGGCTGCACCAGTGTTATCCAGGACTTGTTTGGGGGGGGGGGGTTTGAATAAATACCTGTAGAAGGGCAGCACAATGGTATGGTCATTCACTAGACCTAAAGATGCCAACGAGCTCGAAGCAACAAAGATTAATAAAGAACAATTATATTTAAATACTTAAAAACAAAGCCAAAATTAATATTAGACTGCAATCTCCTACTTTCAAAAGAACTGTTCACCCTATGTACTAATGAATAAATTTCAGGAATGGTAATTTATTAATGGATATAAACTAATTATCACATCTGAAATCTCTGCAATTATTTTTCTGCCCAAGCCATAACAGTAAAAAACTATTTTAAGTATATTTTCAATATGTCAATTACATCATTGTGTTACAGAGTAATATAGAAATAAATATGCAAATATATGTCCACAAAATTTGCAAATCAAGCATAAATTCACACAAGCAGGATATCTAAGGATCAAATATTGGGATTCTTACCCAGATTATACCACATATCACGAATCTCAAAACCAATTTGTCTTCTCATATCACCATACCTAGAGAAAGTGCAAAGTGTTTTATTAAAATTCTTTTAATACTTTAACTAAGTTCCTATCAAAAATAGTAGCATTTACTATTTCAATTTGCTAAGTAATATTTCCACTGTTAAGAACAGGAAAAATGTAAGCAAACAATTCATTGACATTCATAAATCATACTGAAAGAATTTATTATTTAAATCATATTTAAATAATAAATCAAGAAAACTTCAAACTCCTTGCATCCTAGCTCCCACTTTAACATCTGTATTTCACATTGCATCTGTGGGATTTTCACTGGCATTTTGCATAATTATCCCTTGTGAATCTAAGGTGGCTGTGTAGATTAATTAAAGTATTTTTCAATTCTCAGCCTCCGATATCTGAATAAAATAGATTCAATACCCTTAGGAATATATTATATTTAGCTTATTTTAGCATTCATGAAATGTAGAAAATGGCAAACAATAAATAGCAGGAATCAAGAACATCCAATCACATTAATTATGAAATTATTTTTTAAAAAACAATCATGACATCTGCTGATATAGTACAATGAAATTGAATGTATGGTGTCTGGAAAGCTAACAGAAAATAAACAAAAATAGAGTATTACAGGTTGCATTTTTTTAAAAAGATGGATATACAATGGCATTTAAAAGTTTGTGAACCCTTTTGAAAGTTCAATATTTCTGCATAAATATAACCTAAAACTTGATAAATTCCCTTCACAAGTCCTAAAAACAATTTAAAAATGTCAAAAAATATACTTATTCATTTATTAGTGAGAAAAGTTAAATATTTCTCTAAAGCAAAAATATCTGAATGTCCAGGACTATAATTCATATGAAGCGGAAATTTGATTCAGGTGACTCCTGAACACATCCTCTGTGTTCAGCTTTTGGTTGTCTCAGACTACATGATGGCTGACTACCCACAACCTTAAACAAACAGATGACATCTAGAACACTAGTTCTTAAACTAGGGGCAATTATGCCCAAGAGATAATCTGGGCATAATATGTGGGTAAGGGAACAATTTGTAATTGCTACTTTGTGATCTAGTTTAGAACTGCTCCTGACAAAACACTGGTGTAAAACAACCAAGTCTGGTTTGTTGGGGGAATGACATTCAAAATTGGAAAAAATAATTTGGACAAAGAGTTTCAAAATATAGATCTTGAGTTTCAGATGAGTAAAGGTAATGGGTAATGTTGAAAAACTACACAATGGTTTTTAAAATGTTTCGGGAATCATTAGAAAATGAAAAGCAGATTATGTCTCCTAGAACAGAGGTGTCCAACCTTTCTGGGCTCGAGGGCCGGAGGGAAGGAGAACAGCTTCAAAATTGGTGTGTGCACGCACACGCACGCACATGGGGCCACACATAGTGGTGAGGCACTAGCAGACATGTTCGTGCATGTGGCATGTGCTGGCCCCATCCACATGCACGAACAGCCGTGCAACCCTCAATGTGGCTAGCAGCCCGTTTGCACATGCGCAAATGGGCCACGCAAACCACCCAGGCTAACTGCACAGGTGCAAATGGGCTGCGGACACCCGTCCCACACTAGCATCCCTGTTTGCACCCATACACATGCGCAAATGGGGCCACAGGCGCTAGGACGTGTGGGGGGAATGTGCACCCATGTGTGTGTACACCGGCCAACCCTTTCCACAGTCTGCTGACCAACAGCCCACAGCCCGGTCCCAGGCTGCACACCATAGGTTGGGGACTCCTGTCCTAGAAGATATCTATGCTTTTGGGGAAATAAGATTATAAATATTGTAGTGAGATTAGCATAAAAATATTGATCAAAAAATTGAAAAACAACAGCTAAATCATAAACTTTTATCAAAAGTGCCTTTTTTCATTAATTTAAGGGCATTTGATTTAATTTCCTGGGCTAAAAATTCAGAATGAAAATAGTTTATCATCAGATATCATGATATGGCTAAATTTATACATTGTAGAAACCTATCTTATCCCTCAAGAGGTTCAGCATTTACATGAAATCTCTGAATAAGATCATTCAGCATATTGTTATCTACAGCAGAGGTCCTCAACCTTTTGGGCACCAGGGACCGGTTCTGTGGAGAAATGTTTTTTCATAGACCAGAGAGTGCATGGTTTTATATGCTGTCTGCATCTCACAGATGGGGCTTTGCTTGTTTGTATGGACCAGTTGCTGGCATGCTGCGGCTCGGTACTGGTCCATGGCCCAAGAGTTGGGATCCCGATCTACAGCAGATGATCTGTACATTATAGCTTATGTATTCTCTAAACCCCATGTATTAATATGAAGTATATATCACACCTCTTTTTTTGATAACTTAACCACCAATGCTATAGGAAAACATGGTTACTGATAATAATGACTAAGCAAGACATTTATACTAAATCAACGAAAAACAAAACAAATTATATTCTAGGCCTACTTTACTTTAATTATGTTTGTTTAAAAAAGGCATGGTAGCCTTGGTTTGTCAAACCAGAAAATTAAGACATAATGGGTGGGTTGTTGCATTGATTGTTAGGTTCTGGGTCTAATTCAAAGTGCTGGTTATCACCTGCAAAGCCCTACAGTGTAGCACTGGGTTATATTAGGACTCACTTTGCTCTGACAAGGCATTCTTTGTGATCGTCCCAAACAATGACACTATTCCCCCTTACTTCTGATATTCTGGAAAGCTCTAGGATATCTTACTTTAAGCACACACTTGAATCAAGTAACCATCAAAATGGTTCATCTGTGGGTTGTATACTCCTCAGAGTCCCTATTTCAGAAAGATGGGCAGTTAGAAATGTGATAAATTTTTTAAAAACCTCCCTTTTTGCAATCCTGTAATCCCTTAATTCCAAGTATAGTTGGATTGGATGGAGTTGAACATTTATTGGCTGGATGCCCTTCCTGATGCCATATGGCAGGGGTGTCAAACTCAATTTCATTGAGGGCCGCATCAGCATTGCGGTTGCCCTCGGGGGGGGCAGGTGGGTGTGGCCAGGGTGGGTGCAGCCTACTGGGTGGGTGTGAATGGAGTGGGTGTGGCCTACTGGGTGGGCATGACCACCCAGGTCATGCCTGTGGGGGCCTGGGCAGGAGTGGGACAGATCTGAGGGTCTCTGGCAGAAGGTGGTAGGACCGGGGCAAGCACCAAGGCATGGTCCATTCCTTCATTCCTCACAAAGGATTACCCCCCCCAGCATGCACCCAGGGGGTGGGGCCGACACGGCAGGGGCTGGTTCCTCACTGTTTCTAGACAGCCTTGTGGAGCTAAGACTGAATGCGTTTCAACATAGATGGCCACGATAAAATTGTACATTGGCTCCCGGCCAGCCTAGGCCAGGGCCAAGGCAGCGGGGGGCCGTTCCCTCACTGTTTCCAGGATGGCTTCGCAGGCCACATGAAACCACTTCGCAGGCCGCATCTGGCCCCCGGGCCTTGTGTTTGACATGTCTGCCATATGGAATTTACAGCAGATATTTTTTTCTTTTTGCCCTAGGAGAGAAACATCTGCTGCTATCTAGAATTGAACTCTCAACCTTCCAAGTGGGAGATGAGCATCTTCATCACTAGGATACCATGCCGCTTATGACAGACAGACAGCATTCTGTGAGAAATGGGTCAATCTCTTATAGGAGAAAAAATACAGAACTATTTTTCAATGAGAACTATTCCTCATTTGCACTTTGATAACTCTGATTTTATGTTTCAAATATTTTTTGTACAAATCAATCGATATAATAAAGATTTATGATGCTAACATTTATATTTTATACAAACAGAATCTAAAACATTTCCTATAATACATCTTGGCATTTTATGGTTATAAAGAGAAAAAAAATCAAAATAAAATAAAACTTTGAAATTTAATTTTAATTTTAATTCAATAAGAGCACTTGATATTGAATATAGTGATAATTTAAATCATAGTGATGTAGTATAGGTATTTTCACCATAAGCATATATAAGCATATATAAACTTTGTTTTATTCACATGTTTTTATTGATTTCCATACAATTGATTTCTTAATTCATTGCTTATACATATTTGCTTTCAATACCTTTTTATTCTTAGTTGCCATTATAATCATTTGCAAATACTCAATTATTTATCAAATAATCACTCATTTATCACTTTCAAACAAATAACCACTTATTTGTTTATTGAGGTATTGCGTGACATCTTATTATCCTGGTCTTCTCTAATTTTTGCACTGGGCTGGAAATGTTTATAAACGAAATAATTTTGGAAGTTTATATAACCTAAATGCAACAATTTGAAGGTAATTAGAATACTATAAACAATTCAGATTAAACCAAATAATTTGTTCTGTTTGATTTTAGAAGACAACACTGCAATCTAAATAATATACATTTTATGGCATAAGCTTGAATTAAACTAATTCCGGTCAAACACATGGATCATGATCCTGAACTTGAACCAGAAACATAGGAAGAAATCAGAACTAAACTAGAACAAGACAAAACATTTTAATTTTCAAACTGAATCTAGCCATATTTTCTCAGCTATAAGCACTTTCTGTGCATATTCTCTTTGCTGTAGACTCTTTACTATAATTTATGGACCTGATTTTATTTTTATGCCCACATAAACACACCTGCCAATTGTTTTCAATTGGCTGGGAAAGTCAGGGCAGTGGGAATCATTCTCTTTGAAAAATTCATCATAAGAAATCCAGACAGGGCAACAGGGAAGATAAAGCATAGCAATAGAGAGGATTGGAAGTGCACCCAAAAGCCAAATTAGTTGGACTCCATGGCACAATGATGAGACCCAGACATCCTTATTGTAAGTCTCTAGGAAGAGAGAAAGGAATTGGAAGCAACCAAGTGGAATACTTTAAATACAGAGAAGCTAGTTTTGCTAGAATACCAACCAGGTAAGGTCAACTGCTATAATTGGCATATTTATATTATATAAAGAACACTAGTTCAGGAATTTTTAAATTTAGTGGAAGCTTAGATCTTGTTAGAAGAATAGGGCCTAATTTAAGAAATTACAATAACAGGAAGAAAATATAGAGATTAATACTCTACCAGTAAAAAACAGATATAGCAACATATATTAGCCTATGACAGTGATGGCGAACCTTTTAGAGACTGAGTGCCCAAACTGCAACCCAAAACCCACTTATGCATCGTTGGGTGCCGGGTGGGTATGGCCGATTGGGTGGGCCTGGCTGCGGTGGTAACAGCAGACTGGGTGGGACTAAAACGTTTAATCAATCAATTCCAACTTTGCAAGATCTTTTTTTTCCCCCGCAAGAAGTTGAAATTGATTGATTGAACCTTTTTTTTTTTTTTTGCACATGGTGGCGGAGGCCTAAAGCGAAAAGGTTTTATAAAACCCAGCTGAAGGCCTGGGACTGGGGTGACCTAGTGGGTGTGCCCACAGAGAGGGCTCTGAGTGCCGCCTCTGACACCCATGCCATAGGTTCGCCACCACTGGCCTATGATTATAAGATGGCTGAATATATCAACTTAAGCATTGGTATTTATGTGTTGGAAGGGGACAAATCAGAAGAAAGCACCCTGATTTCCTGAGAGGATAAAAGGTCTTGACTCTATTGATTTATTTATGTATTTATTACATTTATATGTCACCCATCTCATTGTCAAATGACTCTGGGCAGAAATTTGGAGGGATTTCACCATCAACTGCCACCATGATTAGAGTTCTCCCACTCAGCACTTCCCTGCATTTCCCATGTTCAACTTGGTTTCTAGCTCAATAAGCAATTCAACTAGAATTTGCAACTTTGAATATAAAAACAGCTAAACATGTGTTGTTAGAAATTATTATGCATCTTGTATTCGAAATTGAAAATGATTTTTAGCTTCTGTGTTGTCTACTTGTTTGTTACTTAGTAAAATAAAATTTTCCCACTGAATCTCGATTTAGTGATTAAAGCTATGTGGTAAAATATACTGAGGAAACCTTTTATGTTTAGTTTAGAAAAGAAATAAGGAAGGAAAACAGCATGCTGCTAAGCTGTCATCTTAGCAATTGGCAGGAAATGAAGGTTGCCATCTGTGATTGAGAGCCTAGGAGAGTTCTCTAAATAAAACAGGTACTGGATATGAGGATAAGTACTTTGAATGTCCTCCTATATTCTAGGTTTGGGTAGAAATTGATGTGTAATCTGGAAGGTTAATGAGAGAAATAATACAGTTTATTTGTCTCTTTTATCCAAAAGAATATTGCATTTTTAATCTACTTAAGCACTCTAAGCATAAGTCTTGTTAATTTAAAATAGTATGTTATTTTCAAAATTATCTATTTACCTTTTGCTCAAACAAAAATCTAAGAAAAACATTATGGAACTATATTCTCACATTCTACAAGGCATTTACATGCTTGTATTTTCTTGATCCAATCTTCAGAAATCAGTGACAGAGCAGAGAACACCGAAACTAGTTACTTGTTTGGTGTGTGACTGTCCATTTGTCTTTCTGAATATCTGTGTGTCTATTTTGTGCAATTTGTATAAAGACATGAACACATGAGACCCATAGGGGGGGTTATTCTCAAAAAGTTTTGGTTATGTGGAATGTGGAAATATAGCAGAATTGAAGCCTCTGGAAAGAGTCAATTCATTCTCTTTCAAAAAAGTTTGTTCCCATGAGAATTGCTTGAGGTAATAAAAATAAAATAAAATAAAATAAAAATATGCCAGGAAAAGTTACCAGACTAAGCTGGGGCTTGCCAAGGCTTGTTAGAAAGTATAACAGTGAATGGGAACTTGTATTTTAGAGCCAGTAAACCAAATGAGGTACTCCACAGTGGGCTTCCTACTTCAAGTGTCCTGGAACCGAAATACAGGTTGGTTAAAATCTGAGCTTCATAAACGTGTGAATAAGTAAAGCTTTTAATGCAGAAGGTGACCAAAAGAAGTTGTAAATTCGGTTCTACACATCCTGAGCTTTTGGATAAACAAAAACAAATAGTGCTTGTGGAGTTACAAAGACTTTGCTACATCATTCCATTTAATAATCACACTGATTTAAGCTTAGGGGAAGACTACCTCCATCACAGAAAACACTAGTTCAGTTCCAATTATTAATATCTCATTGGGTTAGATTTTTACCTCTCTAAAGCTGTAATGAGCTGCATCAATGTCAATATGGAAGTTCGTAATGAATTATGAACAAGACATTATGCAAACATGTATAATAATAGCATGTTCGTATCTCTGATGCTGGCAGATTGGCATCACTAGTATAAAAACTTTTATTGTTTCAACCATGGATGGATACTAATCAAGGAGAGAAGCAACCTAGAACTAAGAAGAAATTTTCTAACAGTTAGAACAATTCATCAGTGGTACAACTTGTCTCCAGAAGTTGTGAATGCTCCAACACTGGAAGTTTTTAAGAAGAGATTGAACAGCCACTTGTCTGAAATGGTATAGGGTTTCCTACCTGAGCAGGGGATTGAACTAGAAGACCTTCAAGGTCCCTTCCAACTCTGTTATTCTATTCTATTCTATTCTATTCTATTCTATTCTATTCTATTCTATTCTATTCTATATGCTTATATGCTACAAACTGATTGTTCTCTTCAAATTCATAAGTATGTGTTTATTTAACATGTTTGGTACTCTTTAGTGACAGAAATATTGTTTGGATTCCAAAACTTGTCTGTCTGGCCATCCATTATCTATCTATCTATCTATCTATCTATCTATCTATCTATCTATCTATCTATCATTATCTATCTAATCTCAATTTTATTATGTGTAATTCAGAGAGGCACATATCTCCTATCTTTTTAACAACAACAACTCTTTGTGGGGGCAGGATTGAGAGGGCTGGACTGAAAGAATAGATTAAACATAGATGAAGTTCCATGTTGTTCACTTCTAAAAGAAAAAAGAAGGGGAGTATAATTCTATTATTTACAACCACCCTAAAAATCTATGAAGAGAAGAGGGACAGAGAGAGGAAGGGAGACAGTGAAAATAATATGCAACACAGTATGAATATAGACTTTGCTATATCAAAAATCTTTGCATTCACAAAATCCTATTATGAATGGAAAAATGTACTGTGTCTGTGGACATTCTCTTCCTGGGAGTGAGATGGGCCCCCTCTCTGTGGGCTTGCTTGGGGTTCATGGAGAAACACGCAACCATAGAGGAGATTACTGCCCTGAAAGCCCTCTCACCATTTTTTAAATTCATTTTTAACATCACTTGATTCTTTTAAAATTTTATATAATAGTTCAAATATTTATTTGTACATCACCCAAAGTACAAATGTGAGGAAAAATAACAATTTAAAAATTTGATAAAATAAATAAATAAATCTTTAATTTCAATCCACTGTAATTTATATATGAGTTTTGAAACTATGAAATTTTACATAAAATCTGTAAACTACTCCTCTAAAGCTACAAAAAAAGCAAAGGTATGACAAAGGTCTAAGATTTATTCATGTATTTCACATTAAAATTTATCTCAAAATTAGCTACAAGATCTTTCATTATATAATTTTTGTTGCAAGTTTTACAAAGAAGATAAAAACTAACATAAAATAATAAAAGAGTAAAAGCAGTAAATATATTTGCAGCAAATATAAGTACAATTACAAAATTATCTTTTGCTTTATGGTAACAAAAGTTCCCTTTTTTCTATTGTCAAAGTTTTTTTCTAATATCAACCCCCAAATAATAAATACTTCTTTTTCTCTTTTATGCAAAACCTTTATAAAGGGTTTTCAATCAACGATAAATATATTGTTTTCCTCTAATCAAGGAGTTTATGTAGCCATCACACAGGTTTCATCATCTTCATGCTACAAGATCTTTAATATTATAGTAATGTAAACTGTTAAGATGAGATTAAAATGAACAGAAAAAATAGAGGATTAAAAATGGTGTTTTCTAATGTAATTTTGAAGCATTTTAACTCCATTAATATGACGTAAGGTAAATGTTTGCTTTATATTTTAATTTTGGACCCTAACTTGATGCTAAAAATATGATAATACTTGAATCACAGTTTCAAATCTAACCTTTCATCATACTATGATTACTTGTCAACCTGTCTTAAGTTTTCTGAGCATCTCAAATAATATTATGTTAACAAAGTTATTCATGGTTTTTATTTGACATATAACTTACTTGTTAAGTATTTTGCATCTTTTAGCACTTGAAAAATTCTCCAGTTGTAATGACTCTTGGGTAAGAAAAGCAACAGCAAGATGAAAATAGTTGTTCCAAAGCTGGAAATGGCAAAAAATACAAAAATGTCAACATTTTAATACTGAAATATAATGATAAAGGTAAGTTAGCAAAGATATAATTTATATTATGTATATTAATGTCAAGAAAACATCAAGCTATTAAATATTTATTAACAAAATTTTTGTGTATTGCTGCATTGGGGAGTTCCATGTTGGAGATGGCTGCTAGATTGATGGTAGATTCTACCCCAGTTTGCTCTCTGTTCTCTACCTGTCCATCTTTTGTTATCAACTTCTGTTTTGTTTAAACTTCTGTTCATTTCTTCATTTAAATCACATAGAATAGCTCCACAGCAAGATGGGAGGCAAATAAATTTAACAAATAAATAAATATTGATTAAAGAAACGTACTTGTCTAATACTGAAATCAAGTAAAACAAAAAAGGAATGAATATCTATTTATATTGTACTTAAAGTGAAAACCTTTAAAAATCTTCTTAAATATAGATTGAGAGCCTCCCAAAAGAAAAGAGGTGTTCTTTATTGTTCTATTGAATATTGAGGAAAAAAAATCATATAGCACACAAGGTTGAAGATGATGTTTTAAGTTTGTTTTTTGAGCAAAATTTGGCTTTGCAAAAATTATTCAATAAAGTATCTGAACAAATTATATAAAAAAGTGACCTTATCTTTGCTTGATTAAAATAAAGAAATCCCAACAGATTATTGGTGAAGATGTTACTTATTGGTAACCGTAAATAAGAGATGAGGTATGCGATGAAGAGGAGATAGTGAAATTTTTTATACTTCTTACGAAAAAAGTGGGGAATTGTTTTTTTAAGGGGGATTATTTTTCTACTTTTTTCTTCCTTGCTTTTTTGCATCTTCTTTCTCTTTTAATCTGTATTATCTTATATTACTGTAATAATTTTTAATAACATTATTATAAAAAGAACTTAAATAATATGGATAACTAAAATACAGATTGTCATTATGTCTAAAATCTATATAAACTCTATATATCTGTAAATACAGAGTCTATTATAAATAATTATATACATATCTTTTCCAAATATAAATAGCACATTCAATGAAAATCTTAAAAAAGAGGACTACAGAAACATATATTGAGAAGGACTTTTAGAAATAATAAGACAATATTCGGTGTATGTTTTACCTGTAGCTCAAAGCTGGTTTGATCAAGAAATTTTTTGTTTAGCATATCTGCATACTGATTAATTGCTCGCAAAAAGACTCTGAAAGATCAAAAGAAAATTACATAATTACACATTTAAGACTTTAGTGCCTTTATAAGTTTGACATTCCAATTAGCTATAAATCTAAAACTGCCAGGAAAATAGGTGTAATAGCAATAATTTTAAAATATGTGCAATTTTACCACTATTAAGTATACAGAATTATGTGCAGATACTTCAGAGTCAATCAAGGAAATTAGCATATGTAGAATCTGATAAAAACAAGAACCTTTTTGGATGAATTCATTTCTCCTTACTATAATATCATGAAAAGATAATCAACAATTCTATTTACATATAAAGCAAAAACATATTTGTCTCATAAAGCCACAAATCTTCATTGTTAAGAATCAATAGCTGATGAACAGTGCTTTGAAAATTCTAGTTGTCAAATGCTTTTATCTTTCTGTATAATTTATGCGTAGTTCATCAAAAAGAGTATAATTAGATAAAACCTTCCAAATTTTTTTTTTTACTTTCTACAAGAATAAATCTTATTATTCAGCAACATAATATTAAGTGTAACTTCCTGGTCCCTCACATTAAAGCTTTCAGATCCCCTTCACCACCATGATGAGAAAACGGAAGTCCTGAGCCCAAAGCAAGGCTGCAACAAGTGAGGGGAATAGTAGCAAGAGTAGATCACATTTCTACCTCTTCCTCACTGCTGCTTCAGTAGATCTGAATTCCCAAGTGCCTCCTCAACCTATCCAGAGTCAGCAAAGCATCCATTCTGCTACTAAGGAGAGGAGGAAGAAAAAGCTGACAAGGTCAGTAGTAACAGAGAACATGGTTTTCAAATAGCCTCTCCCTCTCTTTTTAAAGATCAATATAACGGAGCGAAAGTGCCAAAACTTCTGCTTTCAAAAGTTTCATCAGAAGATTGTTCAAACATACCAGTTAAAGTCTTGGTAAACTATACTGACTTTTTAAAAGGTATAATTAATATAACTCTGTGACATTATCTGAAAGCATTGCAATCATAAAGGGCAGACTCCAAGATTCTTTCTGAATGATCTATCTTGTTTATATAACAACAAATAGGGTAAAGAGGAGCCCACATTAGGGCAGAAATAATAAACTTAATTACTCCTAATACAGTTCAATATTAATTAATAAAGTTTAGAAACTGAAAATATATGGCACTTCAAAGTATCTTGAAGAAAACTCTTCCTATAGAGCAGACATGTCAAACACAAGGCCTGGGGCCCAGATGCGGCCTGCGAAGTGATTTCATGTGGCCCACGAAGCCATCCTGGAAACAGTGAGGGAACGGCCCTCGCTGCCTTGGCCCTGGCGCAGGCCAGCTGGGAGCCAATGTACAATTTTGTGGTGGCCATCTTGGCACTTGCCCCGGTGGACCATGCCTTGGCACTTGCCCCAGTCCCACCCGCTTCTGCCAGAGACCCTCAGATCTGTCCCACTCCTACCCAGGCCCCCACAGGCACCCTTGACGCGAATGATGTAGAACTGGCCACACTCAACCAGTAGCCACACCCACTCCATCCACACTCACCTGCCCCCCCCAGGGCAACCGCAATGCTGACACGGCCCTCAGTGAAATTGAGTTTGACACCCCTGCTATAGAGGAATCAAGAATCATTTAGGTACATTTAAAAATTATCTCGTAGTATGCTAAAACTAATATATCTATTTCTCTTCTATTTTGATTCTTTCTTTTCTTGGACTATATTTTGATAAGCATTCTTAGTCAGACATTTTTCTTTTTAAAAAACGGCCTCAGAATATTATATCTGAATCTGTTAAATTACCAGTTTAATTATTACTAAATTAAAAACTAGGTAATTTTTTTTAAAAAATACTTCCTTTTCATCTAGTTCATTATTTTTGAAAGAAGTATAATTATACATATTTATCACTATTCAACAAAATTTTATTCCACTAATAAAAAAGTATTAAGATGCAAAGCTGCCATACTGAGTTGAACAATTGCTGGATTCATGCATCACTCTTAAGTAAAAGCAAACCATAATTTGTATGTACAATATGTTGCACAATATTGTTTCTTAGTCCATATAGCATATTAAACCATGACTAAGAAATACTATGAGATATAGTATAAAGTAATGGTATATAATAAAGTAGTATATCATAGTCGCTTCATGTTGGCATATTATTTCTCATCATGAGGATGGCACATACAAAAGAAACTTCATAAAAAAATTCATAATCAGATATAATTAGTCCTCAACTTAAACCCAGTCATTTTATACAATAGCCTCAGAATCGGTGCTTTATGCCCCAATAAAGTACATCCAGCCATCGTAAAATGTCACACATATCTTCACGGTCATGTGAAAGCATTTCAGGCACTTGGCAACTGTTTGCATTTATGACCGGTTGCAGATTCTCATGGTCACATGACCATATGAATTGTGGGTGTTGTTGTTGTTTTTTGCTAAAAAACATCAAAAACACTCATTCAGAATAATGGATTCACTTTACAACCGCCATAAAAGATGACATAAAAATGGGTCCAGTCACATGGATGCCTTGACCTACAACTTTAATGACTAAATTTCTGGTCCCAATTGTGGTGGTAAATTGAAGACTACCGATACAGTATAGCTCCATAAAGTCTGTACAATTGGGCAAGTTATAAATTAACCAATCAATCTCATTAAGTTACTGTTTCCATTAGTATGGTTTGGCAATTTAGTATTTTTCCATAAAGTAGCAGTCATAGGAGCAATATTCTTATATGCTTATAAAATACATGTTTTCTAAGTCTCATCTATAAATCATTATCCTCTAAAGATGAAAAGACAAAGTTAATTATGATACATCAATACCTGATAGACAATTGCTCCAAAACACACACACGCACACACACAAAATGAAATTTTGATTTTCATCCTGTTTCTGCCATTTTTGTTCTTGATTAAGCACCAAAATGTAAACAAAACACATTGCGTGGAGGAGAAACGGATGAAAGTGAAGAAAAAAAAGAATGTGCTCTTTCTACTCTAGCAATATAATCAAAATTATAACACAGGTGTAGAATCTGTTCTGCTACATTAGTCTGAAAACACTTGTGTGGCTGACACTGCTCAAAATGGATCACTAATGCCTAGGAAAAGAAAAAATCTTCTGAAGCTTTAGGTAATCTTCTGACTGAGCCATGCAAAAGCTGACATATTTTCACATTTTAACAGGAGAGAGAATATAGTTATTAAGAAGCAAATAAGGGTATGTTAAACTAATTCTGGAGAGAAAGTATTCTAGCAGCTGGTGGGGAGTTGGGTCCAGACAGTAGTATCTGCTTTTTAAGGAAAGGATGCATGTGCTCTTTCCTGAAGAAGTTTATAGTAGTCCAATTGTTTCATCCAGTTTCCAACCCTCTGGGGTCCTGCAAGATAGATATTATCTAGACCAGGGGACCCCAATCCCCAGGCCACAGCCCACTACCAGGCTGTGGCTATTTGGAATTGGGTGGAGCATGCACATGTGCAGCTCAACTTGCACGAGCAGCGGCACTCCCATGCATGCACGCCAGCCAACTGCTCACACAAGGGCTGCATGTGTGCGTGCACCAGCCCACCACTCCTGCAGCCCAGTTCCCCTACCCCCCCCCCAAAGCTGGGCCACCAAGCTGCAAAGGTTGGGGACCGCTGATCTAGATCCTTTAGACTAGTTTCAGAATGGGGCATAATAACGAAGTGGCACTGATGAGCTTTGGCAGAGTTGAAACCGAGGCCAACTATTCTGGCTCTACTTATCTTTCTTAATATCATTATCGTGGTATAATTTTCTGGACCACCTATGAGATTAGGAATGGGGGAATTACAATGTTCTGTAGCACTTCTTTCTCTATGATTGGGACCAATCACTTTTGATAGGGGATAACAGATCAAGTGAGAAACTTTGTTCTGTATAAGGTATTTCAAAGCTTGACACTCTCAGCCCTCTTGTTTAAAATCCTACTAAAGCTGCCAAGGGAGATCATCCACCAATTTAGTATCCAATATCATCAGATGATATTCAGATGTACTGTATATCTTGGCCCCAGGCTTATCGCGTAATGCTCTAAAGCAGGGGTGTCATACTCAATTTCATTGAGGGCCGCATCAACACTGCGGTTGTCCTGAGGGGCCGTGTAGGTGTGGCCAGGATGGGTAGGCATGGCTGGAGTGGGTGTGGCCTACTGGATGGGCATGGCCAGCTCTACATGGTTCGTGTCAATGGTGCCTGTGGGGACCTGGGAAGGAGTGGGACAGATCTGAGGGTCTCTGACAGAAGGGGGTAGGACCAGGGCAATCGCCAGGCATGGTCCACTGGAAGAACCTGGTGAAACCCTCCCCCAAAGCCCATCAAGCCAGATATGTGAAGTAGGCGAGGACCATTTGCTGCCCACTTCCAGGTGATGATGCATTTCTTCATTCCTCACAAAAGGTGACACCTCCCCAATGCACACCCAGGGGGCAAAGCCAACGCCGCCGGTCTCAGACGGCCTTGTGGAGCTAAAACTGAATGTGTTTCAGCATAGATGGCCACCACAAAATTGTACATTGGCTCCTGGGCGGCCAGACTGGGGCCAAGGCAGTGGGGGCCATTCCTTCACTGTTTCCAGGATAGCTTCGCGGGCCACATGAAACCACATCGCGGGCCGCATCTGGCCCCCGGGCCTTGTGTTTGACATGTCTTCTCTAAAGTCTTGCCTGTGCAGATTTGGATTTGGAAGATCAGGCTCAGTCCTGTAAGCCTAATGGCTATGGCTGTTTATATTTTCCAGTATGGAGAGCTTCTATTTTTAGGTCAGAAGAGGGTTGCGTTTCCCCTTTCAGGGCTGTTGCACAATTTAGGAATCAGCAGTTATAATCAATAATATCATTGCACGAATATCAATTTTGACAATACCTGGACAAGGAGGGTTTTAAAACAGTTACTCATGAGTTGGTTCCTTACATTTGCACAATCGCAATGCCCTCTACATGGCACAGCCCTTGAAAGAACTTTCCAGCTGCAGCTGGTCCAAATAC